GGTTATTGCTCTGTACTCAGATCTAGTGAGGCCCCACTCTGAATATTGTGTTGGGACCCTCACTGTAAGAAAGACATCGAGGCCCTGGAGCATGTCCAGACGAAGGCAACAGAGATTAACAGGTTCAAGAGCACAGATTTTACGGGAACAGCAGAAGGAACTCAGATTGTTCAGTTTGAGAAGGGGCAGCTCATGGGAGACCTTATTGCTCACTGCAACTGCCTGAAAGGCAGGTAACAGTGATAGGAAAAGAGGGAATGGCCTTAAGTTGTGCCAGGGGAAGTTCAGGTTGGATATTAGGGAAAAAAATTATTCTCAGAAAAAATGGTGAGGCATTGGAACTGGCTGCCCAGGAAGGTGGTGGAGTGATTGTCCCTCAAGAACTGTGGGAATGTGGCGCTGAGGGATGTGGTTAGTAGGCATGGTGAGGGTGGATTGGTGGTTAGGCTTGGTGATCTTGGAGGTCTTTTCCAACCTTAATGATTCTGTGATTCTATAATATCCATGTTCTAGAACCATAGATTCACAGAATATCCAAGTCATAGAACCATGGAATCAGTGAATGCTCAAGTCATAGACACAGACCCACACAGCACCCTGTATTGAATGGAGCCACACAGATCATCGAGTCCAGCACTTGAACCCACAAAACACCAGCCATGTTCCAACCATGCATGCTGACCATTTTCTCTCCATTTCAATGTGGTTGCCTCTGAAATACATCGTTTCACAATAGACTGTGCAAAGCTAAATATAGAGTGAGCATTTGGTCTGAAGCATAAGCCGGATCCTTAGCAGTGAGCATGAGGCACTGCAGAAAGCGTTGCAAGAATATTATCCTTTGGATTTTGCCATCTGGGCCTTCAGGTTTTCACAGGAAGTTCAAATATGCTTTATAATCTTAAAATATTTTCTGGGGGCTAAAAAGATGCGCAAGTTTTCTCTGATGAAAAGCTCCAGCCACAAGCTGCATAAACCAAAATTATCTCCCAAGTTAAAAATAAATGTCTATCCACTATTTCTTTGTTTCCTTTGCAGAGTTTTTGCCACAAGCACTCTGTGACAAGCAACCAATGGGATTGGAATTAAAAAGGGTTATTCTTTTGTTCACTGTTTTGTTTCAACAGCCTTTAATCCAGGCAGCTTTGGCTTTTAGTGGACTGCATTCAAAGCTCCAATGGTGGAGAGCCAAAGGTGTGCAGTTCTCCAACTTCTCAGTCCTCAGTACTCTTCTGGTTGGGGCTCAGCTCAGCATTCTGTCTCATGAAATCATAGAATCACAGAATATTCCAAGTTGGAAGGTACACATAAAGGTCACTGGGTCAAATTCCTGGTTCCACACAGCACCACTCAAAAATCAGACCGTATTACTAAGAGCTTTGTCCAGACACCTCTTGTGTTCTGGCAAGATCAATGCCATGATCTGCCCTGAGGAAACTATTCCATGCCCACATCCCCCTAGTGAAAAACCTTTTCCTAACACTCAGCCTGACGTTCCCCTGGTCTCAGGATACATTATGTTACATTACGTTCTCCTAGCAAAATGATGTGCTGGAGCTTTCAGCTCTACCCCAGCTTGCATCCCACCATGACATCCATCACAGGAGCAGTGGGTCAATGGGGCAGTCCACCTGGGGAAAGACAAAGCATAGTTCAGTTTGTTATCCTCATGGAGCCTCCATCTCTGAATCAACATCATTCATGTGACAAGATAGGGGAAGGAACCTGCGTCAGCCACAGCTGTGATGAGCTGGCAAAGCTGGTATCTCTGACATCCGTCGGATGACGAATGATGTCAGAGATCCGTCATCTTCCTCTCACTTCCAGCAGACAGCTTTCACACACTGCACTGGTCATTGGAACCACAGGACTCCACACCAAATTTGAAGTATTTTCTTGCTACATCAAATCACAACACAGTTCCCCTACAGTAACATCAAACAATTGCTTTGTTTCCCTACTGCATACTTATAAACAACCTTGATCTGTAAATAAGTACTACCCCTTACAGAAATAGTGACACAAGGACAGCAGAAGTTGGGTAGGGGAATACCTGTGGTACCCAAAGAAATGCTCCATGCCATATAATGTGCTCAGCAGCACAAAAGGAAAGAGAAAGGCACCTGAAATTTAATCCTCCCTGTATCGCACTTCAGTAACTTAACGGCTGAAAGCTTCATCCACACAAGCACAATTTGCATCCACCAAGGATCTGGCGCATGAAATTCTTTGTATTTGTGAGCTAGCAAGGCTAAAGGGCAAGTGAGCTGCATTTTACAGTCCCTGTGGGTGTTCAAAACACAGCAGATTAAGAGCTGAGCACCCGCAAAGATGTGGCAAAAGCAAAGGCTGTAAATCTACTGCATTTAAGGACTGCAGAGCAGCACTGACCTCTCTCTCTGCAGGCCCAGCAGAGGGTTCCCAACACATACCTGAGCTCAGCCTGCAGAGCCCTCCCCAAGCCTTGTGAGGATGTGTCACATCATCCAGCTGTTGGAGACTGTTTCAGCTGCTTACAGAGATCCAACCTTGCCAGCCCGGGGTCTGTGACAGCTGGAAGCTGCTCCTTCCCAGGTTCCAAGTGTGTGTAAATTCCTCTCTCACTCTGTGGTTTCTGCTGAAGCAGCGGATAACATGAGCCTGCTTTACTGGAGGGGTGAGATGAAGCAGAGATGGACCGGAAAGCACATGGCAGTAGCTTATGGATATTTACATGGATTTGGCTCAGAACCCATCAGACCATTCTCTCTCCCACCTCTTTCCCTGCCTCCTCCATTGCTACAGGAATGAACAAAGGTTAATGAAGAGCAGCAGCAGAAGGGGTCCCTGAAGCAGAAGGAGGGGTTCCTGCTGCTCTTGCCTGCACCAGGAGACCTCTGTCTGACACTGGATCAGATACCTGTGGGAGCACTTTGGGTAGTGCTCCCACAACTGCAGCAACAACTTTTGACAGAGAAGATGTATGCAGAAACCAGCACAACTTCACTGCCAACTTCTGTCTTATAGGACTGGTGATACAGTGGCGCAGGCTGTCCAGGGAGGTGGGAGAGTCACTGTCCCTGGAGGTGTTCAGGAACCATGGAGATGTGGCACTGGGGGACATGGTCAGTGGGCATAGTAGGGATGGGTTGGAGCTGGACTTAGTGATCTTGGAGGTCTTCTCCAGCCTTAATGATTCTGTGACTCAAGGCAACACAACTTGGGCTGTCAACACCAAGTCTCACCCTTTGCAAAGAAGGAGAGCAGACACGGTGAGTCCAGGAATTGTACATTGTGCAGCCATCATCAAGGAGCTGCCTGCTGGAGGATTACCCAAACAAATTCTTCCTCTGCCTTACAGATGTAGCCCGCTGGTCTGCCTGCATTCTGCACATCAGTGTATAAATGAATAAATAAAAAGGATAGCATTAAGTAACACAGGAACTCGTGTCCGTGTACTGCTGCACATATTATCCAGATGGAAAATATCTGTCTAGACAAATCTGGGAATTATGCAAGCTCAGAATTCCTGAATAGTCACTGCTTTCCAACACACCAAAACAGTTTGTGATACCTACTGGAAATACATAGCCAAAAACACAGAGGTAGAAAGCCAACCCTCAAGTCCAAAAACTAGGAGTCCTGAATGTCAGCAATGTGTTTGCTTCCATATGAGAATATGGAGATCTGTTAGTGATCTGTGCACAATGGGCCTTTAGTTGCTGTCAGTAATGAGTGATACTATTCCTAGTCTCAGCAAAGCAGAGAAGGTCCCTGATTTTCCAACACAAAGTCTGCACAGGGATATGAAGCACTGTTTTCCACATGAGCAGAGTGACTGAAAAGGAAGATGAAGTTGTGTGCTATCCCAGTGCAAACCTCACAGCGTGCAGCTAAATCAGCCTTGGCCTGGGAGAGGGAAAAAAAAAAGCATGATGGAAAAATCAAATCTTATGCCAGAAGCGGCTGCTGGCTGGGAGCAGCACTGAGGAACGGATGACTCCGGATGGGATTTTTGCACAACTCTGGGGCTGCAGTGACCCTGTTTGGTCTTCTTGGGAAACAACGCATGGCCACAGCAGGGAGCAGTTCAGCATATCCCCTCAAGGGAACAATGCATTTCTGAGTGGGCACCCAAAGGGAAAAAGAATAGAAAGAAAAAGTGGCATGTCTTCATACTGCAAGTCTGCATCCACCCAAGCCATGGGACTTGCTGGGGCTTTACTGCTTACTCTAAAGGAAAGAAGCAAACCCTATCTTGGGTGCATCAAACAAAAATGTAACTTTTGTTCTGTGGAGTTTTGCAGGTTTAAAGCCAAAGCTCTTTGGGGATGGAGGAAAGAAAGAATATGGTGCTGTCGGATCAGTGTTCCCTGCATGGTGTAGGGATAGAAAGAGAACATAACCACTGGGAGGAGAAATGATGAAAAACTGCATACATCACTGTTTTGGGGGAGCCTGCATAAATGTTTGTGCTTTGCAAGGCTCAGAGATGCAGCACAGCTCCCCCTGACAGTGTGCCCGACAGCCTGAAAAAGCAGATGTGCCAATTTCCTGTGCTTGATGATGATGGCTCCTAATTACGCCAGAGCTGTGGCAATGTCCTCTCTGATGCATGACTCTTAATTTTGTTTCGTGAAGTCATCTGTGCAACACTCTTCCGGCATACGATCACCAGCAAGCCGTAGTCACGGAGAGCTGCACTTGCATACACTGCCCTGCAGCTCAGTATTGTGACGGGGCATACTGAAACACCTTGCTTTGATTGAAGCTTGAAGGTCTGGAAGAGAGTTTTGTGGGGGTTTTTGTTGGTAGGGTGTAGCCCACAGCAGCTGGTGGTGGGTCTGTGATTATAAGAGGCAACACCTGAGTCCCCTTTCTTTTTTGCTGGGAATGTGGGGCAGCTGTGGGACAGACCTCCCAGGGCTTGGCTTAATGAGTTTGGCTGCTCCTACGCTGTGGGGTGAGGATGCTGTTGGAGGGACTTGGGCTGTGCTGAGGAAATCTCTATGCATCTATCATAGAGTAACTGTGAACCTGCAATGGTCAAGGCAATGGGCAGCTGGAGGAGATGGATATGATAGGGTTGTGTAGGGTGAAAGAGGAGACCGTGGGCCTTTTTTGGAGGTTTTGTGAATTGCTACTCACAGGTAAGAGTTGGAGTCCAGTGGCATGGAGGTTGAGGAGGAATGAGTGGGGTCTACAGTGTGGGCTCCTGCTCTGTTTTTTGGTCCAAATCTCCCGGTACGGAGTCCTGATCTGATAGGGAAGAAAGAAGCACTGTGGCACAGAGATCTTGAAGCAACTTCCTTGGGAGAGACAGGGTGGGAAGGTTGTGCAGTTGGTATCGTGGGAGACATTTGAGGCTTAGCATATTGAAGTCCAGAGTTTGAATATGAATTGATTATTTATTATATTTTGAGCAGGTGGCTTGTCTGGATTGCATAAGATCAGGCCATGGCTAAGTGGGCAGCACCGGTGCCCACGTGTGCATCAGTCCTGTGCCTGTAGCAGTTCCTGTCTGCCAAAGGGTAAGAGTTTGTTGATGGATGGAAGGGAAGTGGTTGTAATCATTTTAACTGGTGTTTAGGTTGGATTTTTTAGTTTTTTTTACTCTAAACTACCTCTTCTTCAGATTCTCAGCTTCAGAAAAGTCAGCTTGTGCAACATAGTAGGCAGTCCTGACATACACTATCTTCTGTAATTGAAGGAGTTATGGGTTTTTCTTCCTACAGCTGTGTGGTTAATACATGTGGGAGCAGAGCAGTGTTGCCTGGGAATCTAGGCTTCATTCTGAGTGGTGATGTTGGCAGATCAGTAAATGCAATTATCTGCAACAGGCAGGAAGGGCAGAGGTCTTCACCCAGAGACCAGCAAGTGAAGCAGCTGGATCCACGTTTCATGTTTATGGTGTTTTGGCAGCCATTACCCTGTTTACCAAGACCAGCAGGAATCTGTCATCTTGGCTGAGTGTGGCACAACTAGCAACAGTTTGGGGAAATATCTACAACTGGTATATAGTGATGACTGCAGAAAAAGACCTGAATTATTACACGCCCTTCTGATACAGCAATGTTCTAGCATTCGTGTTGAATTCTTCCTCCTGCCATAGGTGAGCCAAGCCAAAGCGGGGAGGTGTGTTACTCCCATAAATGCTGTGCAAACGAGGCAGGGATTAGCTCACCTGGAACTCACATCCTGTGCCAGGGACAGTGCTGAGTCACCTCACAGGCACCTCACCTGGCCGTCAGCCAAGATGCCTCATGGCACAGACACACCATGGTGTGTGTGTCCTGTCTGCTTCCTGCTCCTGCATGCTTGGAAGTACTGCCTTGCTCTTTTGCTTGCCCATTGGGGTTTCCTGCTCTCAAACTTGCAAGAAATCTTGGAGATGGTTGCAACTCCAGGGCCATTTTAAGGGCTTGGGTTTTGGGTGCCTGCAGTCCAAAAGAAATGGAAGAACATCTTTTCAACAACTTCCTTGCTATCTTTCTAACACTCAACCACTCCCACTAAAGACAAAAACTTGTGCGTGGATCATCATTTCTCTGGGATTTGGCTGGTAGAGGGAAATCCTGTATCCCTACGTGTGTGCAGGGTAGCATTGTCTTGCTGAACTGGACATGTCGTGAATGATCTTCCTGGGTGGTGGGGAGGACTGATGCTTTGTGCCCAACTGAATAGAGGTGTCAGCTTGTGGATGGATTGGCTTGCATCAGCTGTACACATCCTTATCTGCAGGAAGTAAGGAGTATCTCTGTAAAATCATGCTATAAACCAAACCCTCTTCACTTCCCTTTTCATGAGCTGCTGGAGCAGAAGGGAAAGACAAAGCCTGAGTCACCCATGAGGAGTCATCACCTCATTACTGACATGATGAGAAATCATATACATCCTGTAAAAAGATGAATAAATCTATGTTCTTCCATCCCAGTTCTCCTGAGACGGGGGCTGGATGTGCATGCCATACCCAGTTCAGCACATGCTGAGGTGGTGCCACACAAGCTGGGTTCTGGTTGTGTGCTAGAAGAGAGTCTAGGAAGGAGCTGTGATGCATCTGTGTGACACAAGAAAGCTGTCTTGCATCCCTGTGGGTCAGTTGGCTGTTCATGGGTTTATCTGGATTCCCTCACCTTCTCTAAGGGGGTCAACAGCTAAAGACAGTCCCTGAAACTGCTGTCTTCTTCTGGGGATGTGCTTCTGTGTTGTTTTCTACCTGTGCTATGTGTGAAGCAGGCAGGCTCAGATCTCTCTACGTATCACTCGGTTCCTGGGTTTCCCCAAATAAGACATGCTAAAAAAAAACCACAGTTTCTCACCTTTTGTGTTGGGAGAATTGCGAGCACTCAGCATTTTGTAGGAAGTGTTTCACATCTTGCAGGAGGAAACACTTAGTTACTGACTGCAGCTCATCAGCACAGAATGCTGTGATGTGATTTAGAAGCTCATTAGAGACCGTAATCATAGCGGCAGATGTTGGTTGAGAGTAAGAACCAACACAATGAAAAATAGGAAGCTTTCTGCTGTGAGGATGGTCAAAATTTGAGTTTTTGTTTTTTGTTTTTTTTTTTCTCTCTCCAAAATACTGAAGTTTATGTATGATGTGGGAGTTGCTTTCTAGGTTTGGAAAGGTGGTCAGGGTGGGACTCAGCCCCAGGACCTGTGCCAGGTGTCCCAGCCCCCAACCCCACTCATGCATGTGGGAGGGCAGTGGCACCTGCAAGGCTGTGGAATCAAAGCTCTGAGCTGCTAACGTGGCACAGATGATCCCCATAAACTGCAATGACATTGATCTAAGATATACATTCACCCACTAAGGTGAATACCAACAAATACAAATTCCATGCACTCGCACAGGGTGTGCAAATGGCTGAGCAGCCGAGGGCTTACATCTCACAGTTGTTGTTCGCAGTTCACAGAGATGCTGGACGTGGAATGTGCTTCCAGGTGCAGAGGGATGATGGTATGAGGATACTCTGGGACCTCTCTCGCATAATATGCCAATGTTTCCTGCTGTTAAGTGTGTCACCCCATTAATGTAAAGAACAAATACAAAATACAAGTAGGGATACTCCGTGGGATCAGGTGGGATGCTCTGTGGGGTTGGTGTCCCAAACCCCCTCCCAGCTGTTATTTCCTGGCGTTCCCCAAATGTTCAGCATCACCTTCCTTGGGATGCTTGCCCTACTCCAGCAGCTGACCCCAAAGCAGTGCAAGCAGTGCCTTTCCCAGGCTTCCTTCCACCATTTGTGCCAAGGGGATGCTGCAGTCGCGTGGCTCTTTGTTCCACTATTAGATGCCTGTATAGATATGCACGCCTCCCACTCCCCCATTTCTCCCCCCCCCCCCAAAAAAAAGGAAAAATCCCCTTCTCCAAGTGCCAATTTAAATGGATGTAGATGGAAAGCATGGAGGAATCGTACAGAGCAGAAAAAAATCTTTAAAACCGAAGGCTGAAGCAAATATAGCTGAGTAGTACACTAGTTACAGAATGAACAGCATATTGTATGTGCTGTGTTAGAGGTATGTTATGAATAACAAAAGCACTGGAGCATTTACATATTTGTTTTCAGAAATCCTGGCAGTTGGATTTCACCATTCTGCGCCTCTTTGCCAGAATCACTAAACAGTGGTACATATGGCTTCTGAAGTACCATATGCCGCGGGAAGCGCGAGCTGATGCCTATACCGATGCGACACAGTATAGTCTTTATTTAGATTTTTTTTGCAGTTTGGAACAAAGAATATTAGATCACGCAAAACATTGTGCAAGCAGCGCGGAGCTGCGCGTGTAATACGTTGAGAAAAGCAAGCTTGGGT